TTTCTTTATGACAATCACCACAATCATGTATTTGCTCATCTTTTGTGTCCCATAAAAACATAAGCTCCATGAAGGGAGTGCCTCACAGCTGATCCAAAATACCTAAAACAATACCTGGCTCATAGAAGATGCAGCCTTTTACTAGGTAGTTTCCTAGGTGACATTTGGTAAATGTTTTTCATTGTAACCATATGGAATTAAGGACTTGCATAATACAGTAGAATTGTTAGTCTTGCCATTTATTAGGTGCTTGCCCTTGGAAAGCCACTTGTTTATGAGCCTCAATTTTCTAAATTGTAAACTAGTAAGATTATTCTCTACTTCACCATTTTATATTACTGTTGTGGAATAGGGTCTCTCTCATATAGCATTTTTTTATTTTTATTGATTTCAGATAGGGAGAGGGAGAGATAGAAATGGTGATGAAAGAGAATCATAACCTGTCAGAATGGCCAACATCAACAAATCAACAAACGACAAGTGTTGGCGAGGTTGCGGAGAAAAAGGAACCCTTGTGCACTGCTGGTGGGAATGCAGACTGGTGCAACCACTGTGGAGAACAGTGTGGAGTTTCCTCAAAAAACTGAAAATGGAACTCCCATTTGACCCAGTAATCCCACTTCTAGGAATATATCCCAAGAAACTAGAAACACCAATCAGAAAGGATATATGCACCCCTATGTTCATAGCAGCACAATCTACAATAGCCAGAATTTGGAAACAGCCTAGGTGCCCGTCAGCAGATGATTGGATCCAAAAACTATGGTACATCTACACAATGGAATACTATGCTGCCATAAAAAAGAAGGAATTCTCATCATTTGCAGCAACCTAGACGGAATTGGAGAACATCATGCTGAGTGAAATAAGCCAATCAATGAAAGAGAAACACCACATGACCTCACTCATTTGTGGATAATAAAGAGCATTATAAACTGATGAACCAAAAGATATAGAGACAGTATATCAACAAGTAGACTGTCAAATTACAGCGGGGAGGGGAAGATCTGGGGGAGATAATAGATCAACCGAAGGACTTTTATACATGCATGTAAGTACAACCAATGGACACAAAACTCTGGGGAGGGAGGGGATGTGTGGGAGGGAGAGAGGGAGGGGGCAAAAAAAAAAATCAATAAAATATAAAAAATAAATAATAATAATAAAATAAAATAAACCCTAAATTAAAAATCATCAATGTAAAAAATATAATAATAAAACTCAATGTAAATGGTGAAGTGAAATAAAGGATAAATTATGCTTCAAAAAATAAAAAATAAAAGAATGGAAAATGATAATTTAAAAAAAAAAGAAAGAAAGAAAAAAAAAGAAAGAGAATCATAGATTCGCTGTCCCCTGCACACCCTCCACTGGGGGGTCGAGCCCACAACCCAGCATGTGCCCTTGACTGGAATGGAACCAGGACCCTTCAGTTTGCAGGCCAACACTCCATCCACTGAGCAAAACTGGCTAACAGGTATAGCATTTTACTAATAAGGTATGTTAGTCTTTAGTGTTAATTCGTCAAGAGCATGGACATTTTCTTACTCATCTATTACAAGACTCAGCACAGGGCCTAAATCTACAGTATAAATAATTGCCACAAGGATGGACAACCGAGAAGTATAAAAATTTCCTTTGTGAAATGAACTGAGCTTCAAATATTCATACTCTTATTTTTAAACTAGATGTCTGGTGCACAAAATTTGTGCATGGGGGGGGGGGCGGAGTTGTTTCCTCAGCTCAGCCTGCACACTTTCCAATCTGGGACCCCTTGGGGATTGGGCCTAAACTGGCAGTCGGACATATCTCTCACAATCAGGACCATTGGCTCCTAATTGCTCACCTGCCCGCCTGCCTGATCACCCCTAACTGCCCCCCTTGCCAGCCTGATCACCCTTAACTACCTCTGCCTTCCAGCCTTATCTCCCCTAATGCTCCCCTACCAGCCTAGTCACCCCCAACTGCCCTCCCCCCCAACCCCGGCCTGGCTGCCCCTCATTGCCCTGGTTGCCCCACACAGCCTGTTCGGTCACTTGATGCCCTCACTGCCCCCCCTGCTGGCTAGGTTGCCCCATGCAATTTGTGTTCGGTCATTTGGTCATCCCTCACTAACCTCTCTGCCGGCCTTGTCACCCTACACAGCCTGCTGTTCGGTCATTACTGTGAGGGCATCTTGACCAATTTGCATATTACCCTTTTATGAGAATAGTTAGTTGCTATAAGTGTCATTTCATTTTATATAGCAGATATAATTAGCAAAGTCTCTGAGCAGCTAGAAACATTCCCATTTAGTATGGTTTTTATTCAGGATAATGAATATGAATGCTTGTTTTGACTTAATGAATGGTTCTCCTGGGTCAGTGCTGAATAAATGCTTGTACTACTCTGATGATTCTGATCCAGGCAGAAGACATGTGCTTCCATCAATCCCTGGATGTCCCCTCAACATAATGGAGAAAAGAAATGCTGTGTAATTTGTGGGCGTGAGCCAAACCTCCACTCATTAGAGTCAGCTAATTTATGGCAGGAATACACAAATACAAAATTGTCAAGCTGGAACCAGACATCTGAGAAATCTTTACATACATCTTTACGTATAACTACTACCATTTCAAAGAACCAGATAGAGATCAGAAGGAATAAAGTTAATAGCAACAGGTAGTTAAAACAATTATTTAGTACAAATCCAGGTTCTTTTCCTATATCCATTAGGTTAAGGGAAAAGGTTTAACTCTAGACTTAAAAGGGAGTCCCCCCCTTTTTTAAAAAAATATTTGTATTGCCGAAACCGGTTTGGCTCAGTGGATAGAGCGTCGGCTTGCGGACCAAAGGGTCCCAGGTTCGATTCCGGTCAAGGGCATGTACATTGGTTGCAGGCACATCCCCGGTGAGGGGGGTGCAGGAGGCAGCTGGTCGATGTATCTCTCTCATCGATGTTTCTAGCTCTCTATCTCTCTCCCTTCCTCTCTGTGAAAAATCAATAAAATATATTAATATATATATATATATATATATATATATATATATTTGTATTGATTTCAGAAAGGACGGGAGAGATAAAAATACCAATGTTGGCCGAAACCGGTTTGGCTCAGTGGTAGAGTCTGCGGACTGAAAGGTCCCAAGTTTGATTCCGGTTAAGGGCATGTATATCGGTTGCGGGCACATCCCTGGTAGGGGGTGTGCAAGAGGCAGCTGGTGGATGTTTCTCTCTCATTGACGTTTCTAGCTCTCTCTCTCTCTCCCTTCCTCTCTGTAAGAAATCAATAAAATATATTTTAAAAAAAACAAAAACAAAAAAAACACACCAATGATGACAGTCATTTATTGACTGCATCCTGCATGCCCCATATTGGGGATCAAGCCTGCAACCTGGGCATGTGCTATGACTGGGAATTGAACAATGACCTCGGGTTCATAGGTCAACACTCAACCACTGAACCATTCTGGCTGGGCACTCGCACTCGTTGCACCTTTTAAGAAATGCCTATAGTTCTTTGGTAGGGAATTTCTTGCAGGGCAGGATCTGGAATTGAAGTTCCCTTCAAAGACCGTGACAGAACTCTACTGACTTCTAAGAATGTGAAAAATGTTTAAAGTCTTTCTTAGAATATTAAAAGTAATCTTAGAGGTCTCATAGTATAAGGATGATGCATTTACAAGGTTAACTTCCTTGTCATTTCAATGTATTTATGAAGAATAAACCATAATAAAAATGTTGAAGTAGCCTAAGCAGTTTAGCTCAGTCGATAGAGCATCGGTCTGTAGACTCAAGCGCCCCAGGTTCGATTCTGGTCAAGGGCGTGTACCTTGGTTGCCCACATATACCCAGTAAGGAGTGTGCAGGAGGCAGCTGATCGATGTTTCTCTCATCGATGTTTCTCTCTATCCCTCTCCCTTCCTCTCTGAAAAAAATCAATAAAATATATTTTTTAAAATGTTAAAGTAAAACGAAAATTAATAAGTAAATATGACTATTTTTAAAGTCAGGAATACCAAAAAGATGATTATTTTAGAATGTTAAAATTCTGTTACCCACCCCTTTCCCTGCTAGTGCTACCAAAAATATTTTAATTACTATATAAAAGAATGAAAAAAGAAGAAGTTAAAAATGACCTGGCTGGAAGGTCACTAGTGAGCAGTCATATACTAAGAGACTATAATATAATACTTAATGTGGGATATAAGACTAGATATAAGAAAGGTCACAGTCCTCGGTTGTCTGTTGTTTTCACAAAAACAACCCATACAAAGCCAACATTCTTCCCTTTTTCTAATAGCAGGTCTCAAAAGATATTCATCAAAACGCTGCTAGTAATAGAATTCTTAGTTGTGACAGCCTACAGACATCTTGTTCTCAAAGGCTTTTTTAGGCCTGGCCTGACATACAATATACTACTCTGGAGGGATTTTGTTTGTTGTTGTCTACTGTGAAAGAACAATGTTGTTAAAATACTCATCTTTTAAAATCACAATCATAAAATCAAACTCAAAATTACCATTGCAGGTTAGTGTTAGGGAATCCCCAACATAATGGGCTATGTTTAAAAAAAAAAAATTGGGGGGAGAGATCAACCAAAGGATTTGTATGCATGCATGTAAGCATAGCCAACACCAAGGGCATAAGAAGGGGAATGGGGGAGATGGGGACACATGTAATACCTTAATTAAAAAAATTTTTTTAAGGGTGATTGGTTGAAATCAGAAAGCATTCTTATCCCAGAAATATGTAGTAATAAGGGAAATGGATCTGCAAAGCCTCATTTCCACTATCTGTCCCTCAATTTCCTGGTCTGAGACTAATGGACACTTAGGATGCTTCTTATACTTTCCAGGAGCCTCTCATGCAGGTCTCTATTATGGAATTCTCATAATTGGGGTACTTTTAAGCTGGGAAGTGTCTTGCTCACAATATGATTTTTAACACCTAAAATCTACCAATGTTCATTTTTACAACATAGGCAAGGCTTAAATTCTAAATGAAAAATATTTTTTAATAATCAGAAAATTAAAAACAAAGGGTACTAGAGGACACTAAAATGTCCTAATAGTTTATAGACCTCAAAAACAAAAGACTATTTTAAGATATGTAATAATTCCAATTTAAAAATGAATTTAAATTTAATCCCTTTAGTATAAAACCAAAATGTAATCTAATACCACGGGGACTAAATGTTGAAAAACTAAACTATAAAAAAAATACGTGTACATGAAATTATTACAATTTAAATTCTTTGGATTCTTCATATTTTAAACCCCCATTAATAAGAATTAACGTTGCCAACCTAAACACGGTACTTAACAATTCGTATCTGTACTAAAATCTGTACTCTAGGAACATTTTGTGAGTTTTCACAGCTATCGTGAGAACTTTAGGTGGAAAAAGTGGGGGTTAAAAGATAGACTGCTTCTGACAGTAGCATAGTATAACTGGAACAAATAGTGGCTTAGACCTATGTGTTTGACTACATTCCTGTATTTTTCTAAAAAAACAAACAAACCTTTCAACATATGAGAAAGTTTAATTAGCCCTTCCATTCTAAAGGTGGACCCCAATTACTCAGTTCCCTTTGTACATAAGGTAAACATTTATCTTAATTTGTTGGAACTGGTATTATGTTGAAACTAAACTTTCACTGGAGTGCTTAGGATGTTCAAAATTCTTCCAAAGCTCTCTTCTGGTCCATTCAGAACAATCCGAATGTAAGAGATGGAGGTGGCGGGAGAACTGGAGCATACACTAGTCATGTTTGAGTCTCTCTACCGCGGACTCCTCCTTGTAGTAGGAAATGATCTGAATGAGGATGGAACAGTTGATAAGAAGGAAGTACAAGCCAGCTAACCAGATAAACAAAAAGGTGTTCTTCCCTTGAAACTCAAGAACGTAGGCGGGTGCCAGCCACAGGGCCTGCCCCGCAAACCACAGCATCAGGAGGACGACCGCCCTATTCCAGGGCATCCTCAGGCGCGGCATCACCAGGGGCAGCAGGCAGAGGTACCAGAGGAAGTACTGGGAGGTGCAGACCTTGTTAAACGTCACGAAAATGGACGTGTGCAGAAAACAGCAAAAGACGAGGTCTCTGGAATAGGCCAGAGACACCGCTAAAAGCAAGATGACCTGGGGCAGGAAGGCGGCGATGCCCAGGGAGAAGCTCCACGGGCTCTCCGCGGTCAAGTACAACATATAGAAATACGGAGAAAAGTTGTGCCGGATGTCCCGCCGGGTCAGGTGATAGAAGTAGGTGTGCTCCAAAAACTCCCAGCCGTATTGATAGTAAAAGCCCACACTCAGGGCCACGAAGGTGAGGCCGGCAACGGCCCCGAAGAGCAGCACGGCCCGGCTGCACAGCCTCTTGAGAAGAGCGCACACCCCAGCCCGGAGGGGGTTCGGGCCTGGGTCCCGGCCGCGCTCGGGGAGCAGGTGCAGGGCGATGGGGAGCGCGTAGGTCACGGGGTAGATCTTCATGTGCACCGCGACCCCATAGCACACCGCGGCGGCCGCCACCAGCCTCTTTTCCAGGAGGTACAGGGTCGCCAGCACCAGCGAGGCCACGAGCGAGTCGGCGTTGCCGCGGCTGGACACCGCCATGGGGAGCGGGTTGAACAGCCAGAAGGCGCAGTAGCCGCACGCCTGGCGGCGCCCCAGCCCCCGGAGCAGCAGCAGGCGGAACGCGAGGAAGGCCGTGAGGAGGTCGCAGCTGATGAAGAGGAACTTCCCGAAGAGCTCGCTGAGGTAGATGTTGGGGGTGAGGAGCCACGCGAGCAGGGGCGTGTACCGGTAGGTCGCCCTCAGGTACGGAAAGCGGCCCTCGGTGACGAAGCGCGCGGCGTCCGTGAAGACGTGGTAGTCGATGTCCGTGTACCTCACGAGCAGCGTGCGGTCCTGGAAGACCCCGTAGAAGACCAGGGTGACGCGGGCGAGGAAGGCCACGCCGAACAGCCCGGCGGGGGTCACCGGCGGGCTCAACATCCACTCTCCGGAAGGCTTGGTCGGGACCATGGTCTGACGGCGGGGCAGCAGCTCCGCCCCGGAGCCGAACTGCCTCGGGACTGCTGCTGGCCTCCGACCCGGCTCCCCGCCCGCGGCCGCCCGAGCATCTCCCAACACCCAAGCGGTAGAACCAGCCTGCCGGGCGAGCAAGTCCAGCGTGAGACCCGCCCCCGGGCTGCTTCCGGTCGCGAGCCCCCGGCTCAGTTCTCAGTCACACCAGCCGGAGTATTTCCTTCCTCTGGATTGGCTGTCTTTGCTTTATGCCCTCCTCCGGAAGGGGCGGGACTTCTGGTCCTGGGAGAAAGGGACTTCCGCTCGCTAGGCTGTGGGCTCCCGCCGGGCAGTCCGGAGTTGGTGTTTCATGTGTGAGTGAGTCCTTCTCTCTTCCCGCCCTCACTTCAGCCGGCGGAGCCAGACCACCGCAGCGGGCGAGCTGTAGCTGAATTCCTGGGCCTGGGCAGGAAGCCGGAGCGTGGAAGATGGAGTGAGGGAGCGTTAAACCTGTGCTAGTTCCTGGTGCTTTCCTCCTCCCTCTCACAGTTCCCCGGGATTTGTGAGCCCCAGGACCGGGAGGAGCGTACGTCCCACGCAGTATTTGGACATACTTATAAGTATTTTGAAATTATCGATTTTTGTTTTTTTTTAATCTAAATTCGAACTTAGGCAACCCTAGATGGAAGGGTGGGAAGAACGGGGAGTCCTCGTCCTTCCTAAACTGTCAGGCTCTTATGCGCCACCGTATTGGCTATTCTTTCCACCAAGATTGCCTTCCCCTCCCCGTCACTACATTTTAAAAAATATATTTTATTGATTTTTAAAAAGTATATATTATTGATTTTTTTACAGAGAGGAAGGGAGATAGAGAGCTAGAAACGTCGATGAGAGAGAAACATCGACCAGCTGCCTCTTGCATACCCCCTACCGGGGATGTGCCCACAACCAAGTACATGTCCTTGACCGGAATCGAACCTGGGACCCTTCAGTCCGCAGGCTGACCCTCTATCCACTGAGCCAAACCCTGACTCCCTGTCACTACTTAATCTTTCAGACCTTGACTCAAGTGTTGCCTCCTAAAGGCATATCCTGGCTCTCAGCCAGGTAATATTGTTTGAAGGGCAGTCCTCTGTTAACTGAGAGTAGATGGACAAGGACAGAGGGGATCTAAGCTCTAGAAAATCATTTACACAGACGATCCTGCCCTGCCACATAAAAGTCTTGTCCAGTCCCTGCTGTCCCAGGGCTCCAGAACTCCATTTTGGAATGACCAGCCTTCACTGTAGTATTTGTCACATTGCTTTATGATAACAGATTTTTTGTACTTTGCCTACCTGGTTTTCCATCAGGACACTTTGAATTCTTTGAGGTCAAGAGATTATTTTGTCCTTTTATGTACCTCTGCATCTAACACATGTTCCTATTACCAAAATACTTCTAGAGTGACATCCTAGAAATGCTCCCAACTCCCAGTCCTTTTCTCTGAAATATCCTTTACCTAGTTCAAGTTCTGCCCCCTTCACCCACCCACTTCAACCCTGCTTCTATGATTTTCTCACTAAGGACTTTAATCCTTTAGCTGTTTCCCTTCTGTGGGCACTCATTCCACTTACAGGCTACTAGAGGCCTGGTGCACGAAATTCGTGCACTGGGGGTGGGCTGGGGTAGGGGCTGGTTGTCCTTCAGCCCATCCTGTGCCCTCTCACAGTCTTGGAGCCCCAAGATCAATTCCTCCAAAGATGTAGGCCCCGCCCTTTATTGCTGGCAGAGGGAGGCCCTGCCCACCCACCACAGCAGCACCACCATGGGGTAGCCTGGGCCTCCCTCTGCAGGGCATCAGGGGTGGATGGCTGAGCCGCCAACCAATTGCATCGCACCTGCCCTGGCTGGCCTGGAGCCAGTGGGTGTCAGCTTGATGTCCAGATGGTCAGTCTGCTGTTCGGCCATTCATTTGGTCAATTTGCATATTACACTTTTTATAGATTGTAGAATTTCATAATTTACTTTAGATTGTATTCATAACCCTGTGAATGAGATTGTAGGGGTTTTGAGGTTAGGAATTATATCTTATCCTTAATTTTTCAATTATTCATTGCTGTCTCAGGCAGATGGTACATGTTCAGTAAATACCGATTTACTTGATTTTACAGGCATCCTATTTCCTAGGGCAAGTCTTCTAAACGAGGATAAGGAAAATAGAATATTCTGAGCATGCAGTTCGCAGGAATACCCTCCACTCATCCATCATACAATTTATACTTTAAAAGAACCATATATTCCATATTATTCATATTCTTATATGTCTGCCCTTTTATGTGCCTTCATGTAGTTATATGCCCTATATTGATAATTACTTTTAATCATTTTTTGCATTATAATAGCCATATATATGAGGACACCATATCACCATTTAAAGAATAATAATGGTGATGATGATTTCTAATAGCCAGCTTTGTTGAGGAATTATTTGCAATGTGCCAGGCATTGTGCTAATTACTTAAAATGTATGATAGATATTTTGACCTTTACAAATGAAGAAATTAAGGCTTATAGATATTAAGTAATGATCCTAAGTCACATAATGAACTACTGACAGAGCTGGGATTCAAAAACAGGTCTGTCTGGCTCAGACTATTCTCCCCACCATCACCCCCCAGACTATTCTTAATCACTATGTAACTAACCTGCAAATGTTGATGAATTCTGATTTTCTTCTCTGCCTCCTCTTATTGATCTCTTATCTGAATCTTTTTGATAGTTTCTCTGTGACTCTGATTTATTCAGTTCCTTTGCCAAAAATATGAGACTTAGTCCCAGAAGTAGAGGATATAGGAAGTAGATATTTGAGGGTTACATAAGTAAGGGTGCCACTGGCTAGGTTGGTGTAGGTGGTGTGGTAGAAAGGCCTCAGCCAATTTGTCTCTAGAGAGCTGAATATTAAAAAATAATAATAAAAAATTAAAAAAAGAAAGAGGAATACAGGGTGTAATCATAGCTTTTAATGGGATAGTAATCGTTACCAAGGTTGAGGGTTGGCAAGCAGTAGGGATCATTCCATAGAAGCAGGTGCAAATTCTAATGATTGTACATTCTTGTATGGTGTGTATCGTGTCTTTTATTTCTTTATTACTTGAATGTTACTTCCACCTAACAGGAACTCAGTATTTACTGGTTTTTCTTGAATCTTGTGTCAAATGTGTTCTAACCAGATTAGATTGTTACCATCTCTTGCCTAGTACCTGTCCCTGTGAAATGTTTTACATAGAGATCTCACTATTTGGAAAATGTTGTTAATGGTATATCTGGCCCTTAGTGTATGCTACTTGTTATTTTAGCTTGCCCTCCTCACAAGTTTGTAAGTTTCTTAAACTTTTTAAAAATATATATTTTATTGAATTTTTACAGAGAGGAAGGGAGAAGGATAGAGAGCTAGAAACGTTGATAAGAAAGAATCATCGACCAGCTGCCTCCTGCACAACCCCCACCAGGGATGTGCCCGCAACCAATGCACATGCCCTTGACTGGAATCGAACCCAGGACCTTTCAGTCCTCAGGATGACGCTCTATCCACTGAGCCAAACCGGCTTCAGCAAGTTTCTTAAATTTTAAGGGACTGTATTTCATATATCTTATATATCATTTATGTCGTATGATTCATCTGTTAACTAGTGTTTTCCAACTGTAGGTAAGTATTTTATTGATGATGATAGGAGTCCCAATTTTTTCCTCGGCCTTTCCATTTCTGGGGAACAAGAGTCAGTGACTGTTATCTGTTGCTTTTGTCAGAGAATTTAGGACTAGATATTGAACCAGGTTAGTGACAGATATGAATAGGAGGGAAATCCATTTCTTTGAGAGTTAGGTAAAGAAATATCCAACAATTAATTGAATGGGCTTATAGAGCCTTGAAGAATGTCTATGGTAACATGGTATGGAAATCAGGCATGTGTTCACTGACAAAGGGATAGTGCCCAGGACCCAAAGCAACTTGACTTCCTGGATTAAGCTGAGCCAACTTTCAGATTTCTGGGTCTTAAAAAAATCTTGTCCTTTAAAAACTGAATTTGAAATGTATTTACTAAAGAACCCTAAAGTGAATGAGGGAATGGATGTTAGCAACAAAGGGAATGAGTGTGGCCACATGGTTATAAGTTCTTCCAGCACAGCTACATTTAGTTTTCTTTCCAGGCAGGCCTGTGAGTTCCGGCCTTAATCATAGATTGGTTTGGATTTCCAAAAGAAGCTGGAGTGAAGAACAGAGATTCATCCATTTTATTTAGTAGCTTGTTCTGAACAGACAAAAATAAACCAAAAAAATCTCACACACTGAAGTAGGTCAAATTCTAGGTAAATTTGACCTACTTCAGTCTTGAATGCAATGGATGGGAAAACTATCCCTAGATATTTTTGCTTCAGTAGAGTTGGCCCATGCCAACTTTACCGCAAACATCGTGTGTTATTTTACAAATAAGTTAGGTTAAATAGCACGGGTAAAGCACCAGGGTAGCAGCCTTGGGGAGGGGGCGGTGTCCCTGGCTTGTAGCACTAGTAAAACTGTCTTCCTCTCTCTGCTAAGGTCTTACGGAAATCCCAGAATGGTCTTATTAGCTGACAGAGATGGAGGGAATGAGGAGGTGAAGCACAGAGTAGGGATCTCAGAAGCCTCTCATGTAACTGCACAATCCCCTAGGGCAGCTGGTACCCCAAGCATCAGAGCCAAAGCACTCCACCCCCATGCCCAAATGCCAGGGCTGGGACTCAGGATACCCCTAGCACAGGCGGCATTCTCTGGGCTTCTTATAGCCACAAAGAGGGTGAGCCTCTGCCTTTGGACCCAACACCTCTTTCATGCTGGCCTTTGGATTCTAGGGTCAAGGCTCCTCTGTAGCGCCTCCACGCACCAAAGGGTTCAGCTTCCAAGTTGAAGAGGAGTTGCATTTGCCCCACCCTTGTGGAAAAAGAGAAAATTCAGTGTACTTCAAGAGAGGGAAACAGAAGGATGCTTTTATTTAAAAATTTTAAAAGTGCACAAAGACAGGATGGGGTAGGAGCACACAGTATAAGTAGGGATTCTCCTAGATTTCTATGGATGGAGTGTCTCCCTTTTCCTCCTGTTTCCCTGGTCCTATAAGCAACACGGGCTTTATCAGAAGCCTCAGTGGATGCCTCTTGTTTCTGAAAAGAATCTTGCACCACTCTGCCATAATCACACCTGAAAGCCTTCTTCAAATCACTTTCATATTAAAACTAGCATCCCTGTTAACTTTGGAAATCTGGGGAGCCCTACCCCAAAACCAGAGCAAGATATTTGCCCAGTGCTAAAATCTCTGAACATTTCCTTTCTGTACATTCAATATATTTGGTTCTATATACATACGTCTCTCTATATACATATATATATATATGATCTGTTTCTCTAGATAAACCTTTCATATATATCATATTCTAATTTCCTGAGCCTCCACCTGCCTCTTGTTTGCTAGCTCACGTAAAACTCAAGGGTTTCATCAATTTCACTAAGTTCCTCAATAGCGCACTTTCTCATCTTTTGTTCTTCTCTCATCCGTTGTTTTGCCCATCTTCTAAAATCTCCCCCCTTAACATCTGTGCCTAGTGCTCTCCTGACATGCCAGGTCCATGGTTGGTGTGGTTAAGAGCCTCATTTCTCACCAGACCTGGCTGCTTCTAGAGCCTAAAAGACGATTGCAGCTCAGAGGAGATGGGGGCTATAGTCTAAAGGACCATTTAGGGTTGACCATGGGGGTGTTGTTCTGGAGGGCAAAGGAGTGGGCTTATGGGAGAATAAAGCAGGTTGTATTAAAAGGACAGTATGATTTAAAGTGCAATTTAGAGCAAAGTCTGGATCATAGAGGAAAATTAAAAAGTCAGAAAACATTCTCATTTTGTTATCCAATGAGAGGAGAATTTGGGGGCTTAGCATAGACATCAGGGGGTGGGAAGAGAGTGATTCCCTCGGAAGGGAAGCAGCTGTGTGCAGGGGAAACTGGATGGAGGCTAACTTGTAATGGATAAGAAGATATATATATATATATATATATATACAAGCTGTGGTACTTTTTGCCCTTACCCATTGGAAGAAAGCCAGTAAGTCTGGCATTGAATGAAGTTGAGAGCCCAGAAACTGGCTCTTTGCCTTCTATTCTGCTTAGACTTTCAAGTTTTTCTGGTTCTTTCTTAAGAACAAGGGAATAGTGGGGGGTGGGGCGGGGGGTTACAGTAAATGGAGAACAAAGGGTCTTCATTTTAAAGATATAATTAGAGTTCAAGAAGAGATCAATATAAGAGAATCTTATGCAGTTGTAGTAACTGGTGGCCAGCCATAAGTCCACCTCAAGATTTTGTGATTTTCTCTGCAAGGCTCTGCACATAGATGTATGTACATATTCCATAGAAGTGTAGAGCTTGTAACAACTGGCTGAGTCCATCTTAAAAAAACTGCCACTTGATTCCTACAGGGACTCTGTACCAAACCATTGAGGTTGGGGGTGGTGTTCCTTTGTCCTAAATGAGGCAAGGAAGCACTCTTGGGATTTGGGGTATCAGAAAAAGTTCTGGTGCCCATATGCCCTTCCTGACCCCTGCCACAGTTCCCAGCAGGAAACAAGGAATGGCCTGAGTCTGATCTCTGAAAGTATGCCTTTTAACTTGCCTGAAACTGGCCTCATGGCACAGGAAAGTAAAAATGAGATTGGTACTCATTTTATAACAAGTCTCAGGACTGACTGAGGGAGACCTTGGTTATTTAATCGGGAGGTCTAATTTCCTTCTTTCCCAGCATTACCTAATGAAATAGTTGGCACTTCTCAGAAGGGAACTGGGAAGGGTAACTCTGCCAGCCTAGTTGTGCTTCTGTCCAAACCTTAACAAAGCATCCCCAATCCCCAGAGGGTCTATACAACTGTCTGGAAATCTGATCATTTATTCATCCTGCTTGGTCTGGTTGGTTTAACTTTCCTGGGAACTCTGCTCTGTGAGTCTAGTTTTTGTCAAACATCAGTGTTGAGAGAGGGAGGCTCTTGCATTGTCCCTCCCTCTGAAGTGTTGGGGTTAAGGGAAGAGTGGGTTGGGCAGGGAAGAAGAGAAGCCAAGGACAGTGTAATTTTAACACCATTTCCAGACCTCCCATGGAGTCCAGGCACTGGCTTTTTTCAGGGGAACATATTGGTGAGGGGCATCCCATTCATAGGACACAGAGAAACCAGTCCTCTTAGGGCTGCCTGAAGGACAGGTTCAAGGATTTGGACAACAGCTTGCAGTGGTCACTCCACACTGAAGAGTTCAGAATCCAGGACAGGTACAGGTGGTGGGTGTGACTATACTTTTTCTATTTCCTGGGTCATCCCAATTCCCTGGAAGCAGAGGTATCTATGAAATAGCTGGGTACCCTGACAGTTCACTTTAGAAACTAGAAAAAGCAAAAACGGTTGTGACCAAGATCCTAGGTTAAGTCAGGAGTTGCCAACAGAAAGGCACCAGGAAAAACCATGACTTCTTTCAACAGGTTGGTGGAGACCCCATTATACGTTGATTCTGGATTCCTACATTTCTGAGGACACAGACCTTAAAAGGACCATCAGAGTATTGCCTTAGGGAACTTGTAAGATAAAAGTTAGAGAAGGAGGGGACTCCAGCCTCAAATGACCAAAATTTCTGCTGGTGGTGGTAGGTTAGAGGGAATCTGTCCATCCAACTGCATGGTCCTTCTAATGTGAGTCTCCAAGCATGCCAGAAGCCTCTAAGCCTTTCAGCTTAATCTTCCCTCTCTCCCCATCCTGGCTTAAGGCGGGGAGGGGCAGGGAGGGCGGTAATAATGCAGTGGAAGTGGAGTGAGGTGAAAGGGGACAGTGGGAGGAAAAAATGGACTCCAGTTGGCCTCGACTACCCACAGCCACTAGGTTGAAGGAGAGCGAGTAGAGAATGGGTGCTTCTGGAACTCTTCAGTAAGCCTGGGTAATATCCTCACCCAGAGTGCAAAAAAAGGAAGCAACACTAGAGGGACAGGGACTTGGGAAACGAGGATGTCAGACGTTGCTGATGCGCACACTAAGGGCACTGCCCTCCTTCTCGGCTTGTTCCCTGAAGGACTCCTCCAGCTTGAGCTTCTCGGGGTCTCCATAGCACACAGTGCTGTCTCGCAGGCCACTAGGAGGGGCCACTTTCACAACTTGGTCAAAAAGGCTGAAGTCAGCTATGTATTTGCCACTGGCTGACAGCGAGATGGCAGGTGTGAACTCATAGCCCCACAGGATCTCCTCGGGCAGGTAGGAAGTACGCACTTGGCAGGTGGCACTGGTGGATTCCACCGTCCCACTCAGGATCAGCACCAGCTCGAAGTCGCCCTCCCCGCTGCGCAGGGGGAGGTCTTTTAAGGGACTGGTCTCGTCTACCACGTGGTAGAAGGTAAGGGGCAGGATGAGGAAGGGGCTGTCCGAGGCCGTGTCAACTTGGAAAGTCACGTTGACCTGGTTCAGCCGGATGTTCTCACCCTCCTTGGTCTGGTGGGTCTGAAGCAGTTTGCCTGTCACCTGGCAGCCAATGAGAAGGCTCTTCCTCATGTTGGCAACTCGAATCATCAGGCAAGGCTTCCCGTTGTGGGCAGCTACAACCGCATGCTGGCTGAAACGGATGGTCTCGGCCCGCTTCTTGGGCCGAGCAATCTTCGCCAGGAAGGTGCCTGTGATGAAGATTTCCAGGATGGTAGTGAGCACTAGCTGGGCAATCAGAAGGACGATGGCCAGCGGGCACTCCTCACTGATGTAGCGGAAGCCATAGCCTATGGTGGTCTGGGACTCCAGGGAGAAGAGGAAGGCCCCTGTGAGTGTGTGCACCTGTACCACACAGGGGGTGTGGTTAGCCGGGGGGCCCAGCTCCAGCAGGTCCCCGTGGGCCACAGCGACCAGATACCACACCACGCCAAAGAGGAACCAGGTGCCCGCAAAAGTCGCAGAGAAGAGCAGAAGCTTGTAACGCCACTGCATGTCGATGAAGGTGGTCCACAGGTCCTTGAGGTAGAGGAAGCGCTTGTCAGCAATGTGCTCCATCCTCACGTTGCTGCGGCCATCTTTTGTCAGCACTCTTCGCCGTCGTATCCCTGGGCCCATGAGGGGCCGGCTCTCTGTCTGCGTGGTCTGACTGTAATATACCTTGGCAACTGATGTCATCTGGAGGAAGCAAGACAGTATAATGGAGGTTATTGCAGAAATCCAGCCAACTCCTGGCCACCACCCCATGGAAAGGAAGAAGTAACATTCATTTGATACCACTGATTTGTTGTCTTATTAGCAAATATTTATTGAGCACTTGCTATATGCCAGATACAGATGCTGGTAAATCAAAGATGAAAACAACATCATCCTTGCTCTCCAAAAACTCACAGTCTAGTGAGGAAGATTTGTTCAGTAAACAAATAATTACAATACAATCTAATATTTGTAATTAGGAAAGGCAGAGAGGAAAGAGTAGTAAGTTCACAGTTCCTCGAAGATGGGGCCTCTACTGGTCTCCATCACAAAACCAATTCTGTGGAGATCTCATTTTGAAATTCCTCTTCACCCTCATGAATAACATCAGCAAGAACAACTATTCTGTTGAGATCCTTGCAAGCCAATCCCCCTTAACACACGCATACCCTTAATCTCTCCATTTTTTCCTCCTAGCCACAAGTCAATAGTCAATGTTGATGCTAAGTTATTCATCTGGCTCAGAAAATAGCAGAAACTGCCCATTCTTCTACCCTTTAAGATGATCTCTAAGCACCAAGCCCATTTCACTATGTATTAGTTATTAGTATCATCATCTGTTTGCATCATCTGGTGAACTTTGTTCTGGGCTGGGGTTTGGGATAGTATTAGGAAGAACACGGGCAGGACAGAAAGAGTAGAAGAAATAAGCAATGGTGGAGAAGCAACAATCCAGTTTCCCAAGGACTGGGAGAAATGCCAGATTGGAGGTGGCAAATTGCCTTGACTGAGTGAAGTAGGAGGATTAAGAGTGTGTGTGAGTGGCTATGTCTGCACAAGCTTAAATTCGGGATTACTATATGTCCCAATAGTAGAAAGTGGGACAGGCTCTGAAATAGAAGACAGATCACTTAATTTAAAGCTTCTGGCACCCCTGCCCCAAAACTAACATGCTTTTCCAGCATAGAAAGAATTTTTTAAAAATACATTGTATTGCCGAAACCGATTTGGCTCAGTGGATAGAGCGTCGGCCTGCAGACTGAAAGGTCCCGGATTCCTGTCAAAGGCACGTACCTTAGTTGTGGGCATATCCCCAGCGGGGGATGTGCAAGAGGCAGCTGGTCGGTGTTTCTCTCTCATCGACGTTTCTAACTCTCTATCCCTCTCAATCCCTCTCTGTGTAAAATCAATAAAATATATATTTTTAAAAAATACATTGTATTGATTTCAGAGAGGGAGAGAGAATTTTTTAATCACAGCCCTTTGACTCTGAAGCTGATGAGAAGATCTTCTGGAATGAGAGAGTGGTCTCTGCAGAGTTTGGTCCTTAGAGAACAGAAGGGCTCATCACATTCTCCTCTCTGAGGAGTCTGAGCCATTGCATTTCATCATTCTTCACACTACTCTATCTTCTCCATGGTCTTATGCCTTGAGGACCAATTACTTGGGTCCATTCATGTATCCACCCGAGGAGGTACTAAATTAGAGATTACAATGGAGGGAATCCCAGAGTGTTCAGCGGCAATCAGGAGCCCATTTCACCAGCCCCCACTCACTTAGAACTTTTGCCCAAGTGACACTTCTCAGCCAGACCTGCATGTCATCCACTTCCTCAATATGCTTACCTGGCTACTATGGAGCAAAAAGAAAGCTTTATAATTCTGAAGTTTGAAGAATTATGTAGAGTCCCCAGTAAAGTCCCATTCAATACTTAGTAGTAGTAGTAAACAATCACACTCTTAACTGGGTTGGCTCAGTGGATAGAGTGTCGGCCCTCGGATTGAAGGGTCCCAAGTTTGATTCCAGTTAAGGACTTGTACCTTGGTTGCAGGCTCGATCCCCAGTGGGGGCATGCAGAAGGCAGCTGACAGATGTTTCTCTCTTATCAATGTTTCTAACTCTCCCCCTCCCTCTCTGTAAAAATCAATAAAAAAAATTTTTTTTAAAAGAAACAATCTCCACAATGCTTAAATTTATATATTTTAAAGTTTATACATTAGTATGCCTTCTCATTTGATCCTCAGGATCTCGAAAAGGTGTGAAACCTCTATAAGAGATTTTTAGGAACTCTTAGCAGGAAGTGGTGGAAAGCTGTGGATGAGTGAACATAATTTTAACTTTCAATAAGAAAACGGGGGGGGGGGGGAGGGAGTTGTTGGCCAGTGTGGCTCATTGGTTGAGCATTGACCCCTAAACTAGATCACGGTTCAATTCCCAGTCAGGGCACATGCCCAGATTGCAGGCTTGATCCCCCAGTAGGAGGTGTGCAGGAGGCAGCCACTGATTGATGTTTTTGTCACTCCCTTTCCCTCCCTCTCTGAAATCAACAACAAAAAATTGTATTTAAAAAAAAGAAAAATGAGGTACATTTCACAGACTACACAGACAAACAGGTAAGATACTGATCCTAGACAAGATTCTAGATGGAGCACTAAGATTGTGACTACTTGGCTAGGGTAGAGGAAAGGTGGTTATCAGTAGGCTCAGTAACCATGGGTTACTAAGAAAAAGTCACATCAAGCTAACCTAATTTCCTTCTATAGCAAGGTTACCAGATTGGAAATCAGATAACTGTGATAGGTAAAGCATATCTAAGCAAGATTTTTGATACTCTTAGAGTTCCTATAATCTCTCATTATGTCCTTGGGGATATGACAGAGAAAAATGAACAGTATGCTAGTAGGTGAGTTAAAAATAAAAAATCAAATGGTACTGGTGAGTGCATTATGATAGCCTAGAATCAGTTTTCTGGTGATATACCAGAACACTTTATCTTCGCACTTGCCCTTTTACACATGGTCATCAATTATGTAGATGACACAAGGCTGGGGCAGATCTCAACTGCAAAGTCGAGGGCAGAATTAGGATCCAAAAGAAGACAGATGCATGGGCCAAATCTAACAAAAGAGGATAAATGTTGGGTTACATATTCGTGTCCAAAATTATCTGAGCAAGTTCTGGACTGGAAAGCAGAACCATAGAAATAAATTTTGGCAGAAAATAATCATGTATGAACTACCTAGGTGCTTCGGTTGCCAGAAAAGCAATGCAACCTTAGGCCACTTTTTTAATTAAAGTATCTAGAATGAGGAAGTGATTCTGCTCTGCTCTGTTTATCCCACACCTGCACTATCAAGTATCAAGGGACAATCAGAATAGGAGGGGATTCAGAACCCATCATATATTAAATGGTTGAAGGAAATGGAAGTTTAATCGGGAAAATAAATTATCGGAGGACCATGATGACTGTGTGCAAATATTTTGTTTGAACAGCTACATGAACGGGTTTGGACTTTTCTTTGAGCTCCGAGAGAAACAACAGAAGCAGGGAGTTCAATCCACAGGGGAAAGATTCTATATGGCTATGACACACAACACCAGCAATCCGTGCAGCCAGATATAGAAAGAGCTTCTCAAAAGGTGGTGATTGCACTATTCCTGGAGGTGTTCAAGGATACATTAGCTGAGTGCTTTAAAGAGATTCTTTAGAGGAGATGAAAGCTTTGGTCGGGAGATTGAAAGATTGTCTTTAAGCTTCCACTCATGGAGGATCAGGATGCCTGCCCATCTCTACCCAGACACTTCCTATGGTGACATTAGGAGATTCTTTATCCAAGTCCAGCTTTGTTTGTGCTGAGCAGAGATTCTACATATCTGGGGGAATGGAAGCTCCTGGAACTCAAGGAAAACCTTGCTTATCGTTCCCAAAATAATAGCCTCTGATTACAGATCACTTTATGATTTATAAACTATGTCATTTCATCCACCCCCCACCATAAGGTAAGTAGGAAAGGCCTCATTAGAAATTAAGGCTCAGCCAAAACCAAGGTATATGCCCTTGACCGGAATCGAACCTGGGACCTTTCAGATGTGTGAGGGGTGATAGTGCAAGAGGCTGTTAAACGGCCAAGTAAAAATCAAGAGGGTTGCCGACACCGGTTTGGCTCAGTGGTAAAGCGTCGGTCTGTGAACTGAAAGGTCCCAGGTTCAATTCCGGTCAAGGGCATATACCTTGGTTGCGGCCACATCCCCAGTGGGGGTGTGCAGGAGGTAGCTGGTCGATGTTTCTCTCTCATCAATGTTTCTAGCTCTCTGTCCCTCTCCCTTCCTCTCTGTAAAAAAAAATATTTTTTTTTAAAAGAAAGAAATTAAGGCTCAGAGAGGTTTGCCCCAAGTAGGTTAATGGTAGAGGTGATCTGGCTCCTGGTCCAGAACTTTGTCATAGCAACTGCTTCTGTGTTCCCCAGGTTCATTCTTACGGGTCTGTGTTTTTAGGAGGTGCCTCTGTTGGTAATCACAGCTGTATGGGTAATCACAGCTGAGACAGAGGAGACAGAGCCCGGAGCTTCTAGAGAGGCTGGTGTTAAGACTTCTGACGTGGGCACGGAGATTTGGGCTATGGCTAACACTGTTGTGATTGCCACCTCCAGCTTTGTGCCCGCTGTTGCCAGCCTTTAGATCTGCCTCCTCCGGCTTTTATCTGCAGCTGCCAGCTGTTTGCCACCACCCACAGCCAAGCAGCCTTGCTCTCAGCAGTGAGAAGAGTGAGAAGCAGATAAACAATCAGCTACACTCCACTCCCAGCTGGCCAGACCCCTGGGAAGGGAGCAGGCCAAAGCTGGGGAAATGGTGGTTACTGTCCCACCTGAAACACCCATACTCTGTCCTCTAGAGGGTGCTGTTTCCCCAAAACGGCCCCTGTCAGATGCCAGAGAGATCTGAAGAATTCTGAAGACGGACAGAAATAGAGACATTAGTTCTCTCTCCTCTAAAAAATGACTCTCCCTGAAACAAAGGCCAGTCGAGCCTGCAGTGATATCTAGCCTTCTCCCTCAGCAAATACCATCTGCACCTATTGCGTTTTGCCTGTGGATAACCCAGAGCTCACTTTCTTTACCTGAGAGCTGGTGAGTCATTTGTTCTCCAGAATGAATGGGTTATCAACCTTTCCTGAGTACAGGTCTGCTCTGATGTCTTGAGAC